CCCGGGATGTGAAGGGCTCTCCCAGGATGTGAGGGGGTTTCCCAGGATGTGAGGGGTTTTCCCGGGATGTGAAGGGCTCTCCCAGGATGTGAGGGGGTTTCCCGGGATGTGAAGGTTTTCCCAGGATGTGAGGGGCTCTCCCAGGATGTGAGGGTTTCCCGGGATGTGAGGGGGTTTCCCAGGATGTGAGGGGCTCTCCCAGGATGTGAGGGGTTTCCCAGGATGGGAGGGGTTTCCCGGGATGTGAGGGGTTTCCTGGGATGGGAAGGGCTCTCCCGGGATGTGAGGGGTTTTCCCGGGATGTGAAGGGCTCTCCCGGGATGTGAGGGGTTTCCCGGGATGTGAGGGGTTTCCCGGGATGTGAGGGGTTTCCCGGGATGTGAGGGGTTTTCCCGGGATGTGAGGGGTTTCCCAGGATGTGAGGGGGTTTCCCAGGATGTGAGGGTTTCCCGGGATGTGAGGGGTTTCCCGGGATGTGAGGGGGTTTCCCAGGATGTGAGGGGTTTCCCAGGATGTGAGGGCTCTCCCAGGATGTGAGGGGTCTCCCAGGATGTGAGGGTTTCCCGGGATGTGAGGGGCTCCCTCCTCTCTCCCCAGCTGACGCTCCTGCTCATCCTGGAGGACAAACTGCACCGGCAGCTCAGCTACGACCTCCTGCCCTGTGGGTCCGGGGCAGGGAACGGGGGGATGGGGGGACCCCTGGGGAGGGGGGGGACCCCTGGGGAGGGAATGGGGGGCTGTGGATGGGGGGGACCCCTGGGGAGGGAATGGGGGGTATCCCTGGGGAGGGGGGGGATCCCTGGGGATGGGGGGGGATCCCTGGGGAGGGGATGGGGGGGATCCCTGGGGAGGGGATGGGGGGCTGTGGATGGGGGGGATCCCTGGGGAGGGAATGGGGGCTGTGGATGGGGGGGATCCCTGGGGAGGGAATGGGGGGGTGGATGGGGGGGATCCCTGGGGAGGGGATGGGGGGGTGGATGGGGGGGATCCCCATGGCCTTGTCAGGATCAGGCTCAGAGTGTGTTGGACACCGAGTGTGTTCATGGCCAACTCTCCTCTCCTTTTTCCTTTCCTTATTCATTTCCTTCCCTTATTCCCTTCCCTTCCCTTCCCTTCCCTTCCCAAACCTTCCCAAACCTTCCCAAACCTTCCCTGGGAGCTGCTGCTTCCCCGGCCCCTCGTGGTTTCCACGGCCTGGTGCTTCCCCTGCCAAACGACCCCCCCGAGTGAAATGTTGCCCAGAGCTGGTTGGGAGGTTGGGAAGGAGCTCCCTGCCCAGCTCCCTGCCCAGCTCCCTGCCCAGCTCCCTGCCCGGCTCCCTGCCCTGCTCCCTGCCCAGCTCCCTGCCCAGCTCCCTGCCCGGCTCCCTGCCCGGCTCCCTGCCCGGCTCCCTGCCCAGCTCCCTGCCCAGCTCCCTGCCCGGCTCCCTGCCCAGCTCCGTGCCTGGCTCCCTGCCCAGCTCCGTGCCCAGCTCCCTGCCCAGCTCCGTGCCCAGCTCCCTGCCCAGCTCCCTGCCCGGCTCCCTGCCCTGTTCCCCCGGGATGGGCAGTTCCCTGTGCTCAGGGCTGGGAGTGGCTCTTCCAGGAGCTCCAGGAGCTGCCCCAGCATCCCTGTTCTCCCGTTCCTTGTCTCCACAGCTGACAACTCCAAGGATCTGGCCACCGAGCTGGTGCATTACGGATTCATCCACGAGGTGAGGCCCTGCCCCGTGCCCCTGCTGTTCCCAAACCCCTGGGACACCTGGGAGCAGCCACAGCTCCTCCACCACCCGCCCCTGGCAGCCTTTCCTGGGATCCTCTTCCCTCTGGACTCGGCTCCAGGGGCTGCTCCAAGGGGACAATCCCATCGTGAGGTTAATTACAGGGATCCTAAATGATCCGGGGTGTGAGGGCCAGGGGAAGCCCCAGGGCTCACTCCTTCCTTAAGGAACCACGGAATGGTTTAGGTTGGAAAAGACCTCCAGGACCCTCCAGCCCCACCATCAACAGGACAATGCCAAGGCCCCCCCTGCCCGTGTCCCCACATCCACAGGGCTGTAAAACCCCCCCCGGGATGGGGACTCCACCCCCGGGCAGCCTTTTCCAGGAAGGAATTTCCCCCCATCCCACCCGACCCTCCCCTGGCACAGCCCGGGCCCGTTTCATCCTGTCCCCTGTTCCCTGGGAGCAGAGCCCGACCCCCCCTCGTGTCACCTCCTGGAGCCCCCCCGACCCTCCTTTTGTCCGGGCTGAGCCCCCCCAGCTCCCTCAGCCCCTCCTGCTGCTCCAGCCCCTTCCCAGCTCCCTCCCCTTCCCTGCCCACGCTCCAGCCCCTCCGGGTCCCGTGCTGGGGACCCCAGAGCTGCCCCCGGGATTTGGGATTTGGGATTTGGGATTTGGGATGCCCCGGCAGTGCCAGCACAGGGGACGGGCTCGGGACGGGCTCGCGGGAGGCCGGAGGTGTCCGGAGGTGCCCGGAGGTATCCGGAGGTGCCCGGGGGTGCCGGGACAGCCCAGCGAGGGGAGCTGTTGGCACGTTTTTGGCTTTCAGGACGACTGCGAGAAGCTGGCCGCGTTCCTGGAGAGCGCCTTCCACAAGCACCGCTCCCCGCTGCTGTGAGCCCGCGGGACACGGACCGACCCCCCCGGGCAGGGATGTGCTGGACTTGGGGGTCCGGGGGCTCCCGGGCCACCTCCCCGCAGCAGGACTGAGCCCCGGGCCCCGCCCGAGCCCGGGGGGCTTCGCCCGAGCCGCGCTCCGGGAGCCGGCGGAGCAAACGCCGGGAATTCCGTCCCGGGGCGCCGGGAGGAGCCGCGGCCGAGGGAGGTGTGGGGCAGTGGGCAGCCCCCCCCGAGGGAGGTGTGGGGCAGTGGGCAGCACCCCCCGAGGGAGGTGTGGGGCAGTGGGCAGCCCCCCCTGCGGCCCCTTCCTGCGGGAACCCCCGAGCGGATCCCTTTCCCTCTGGGAATGATCGGCTGTTCCCGCCGCGGGTCCCAAAGCTGGTTTCCCCCCCGCTTTGCCATCCGGGGGAACTTGCTGAGGGGAGGAGAGGAGAGGGCTCGGAAAGCTCCGGGGCGGCTTCCCATCTCTGCCGCGTTCCACTCCCCAGCCCGAATTGGTGCCGTTTAAGGTTTCCCCGCGCTCAGCAGCCCCGGGGTGAGCTGGGAGGGGGCTGTGGGAGCTGGGAGGGGGCTGTGGGAGCTGGAGGGGGCTGTGGGAGCTGGGAGGGGGCTGTGGGAGCTGGGAGGGGGCTGTGGGAGCTGGGGGTGACACGGCTCCAGAGGCGATCCCAGAAATCCCGACCCACCCGCTGGATCAGCTGGAACCTCTGCAGAACCCTCGTCATTCCCCTCTCAGAGCTTCCGAAATCCCTCGGCACCCTCGGGGGGAAGCCCTGCTGCCTCTCCCTGCCCTTTCTCCCGCGGTGCTGTGGAATGTCAGTCCCTGGCCCGGGGAAATGGGAATTGCTGCCCTCACCCCCCCAGTGCCGCCCTCACCCCCCCAGTGCTGCCCTCACCCCCCCAGTGCTGCCCTCACCCCCTCAGTGCTGCCCTCACCCCCTCAGTGCTGCCCTCACCCCCCCAGTGCTGCCCTCACCCCCTCAGTGCTGCCCTCACCCCCTCAGTGCTGCCCTCACCCCCCCAGTGCCGCCCTTGGCAGAGGGGTTGGTTTGGGGAAAAGTGCAAATAGGAATTGGTTGTGTCCGAGAGCCCCGGGGGGCTGCTCCTGCTGTGCCAGGGAAAACCAGCTCTGGAATCCTGCCCTGTGCTGTGCCAGTGCTGCTCCTGCTGTGCCAGGGAAAACCAGCTCTGGAATCCTGCCCTGTGCTGTGCCAGTGCTGCTCCTGCTGCTCCCACTGTGCCAGAGGAATCCAGCTCTGGAATCCTGCCCTGTGCTGTGCCAGGGAAAACCAGCTCTGGAATCCTGCCCTGTGCTGTGCCAGTGCTGCTCCTGCTGCTCCTGCTGTGCCAGAGGAATCCAGCTCTGGCCTCCTGCTCTGTGCTGGTGCTGTTCCTGCTGCTCCTGCCGTGCCAGGGAAAGCTGGCTCTGGCCTCCTGCTCTGTGCCATGCTGGTGCTGCTCCTCCTGTGCCAGGGGAAACCAGCTCTGGCCTCCTGCTCTGTGCCAGTGTTCCGTGCCAGTGCTGCTCATCTGCTCCTGCTGTGCTGGAGGAAACTGTCCCTGGCACGAGCTCTGCTCTGTGCCAGCGTTCTGTGCCAGTGCTGCTCCTGCTGTGCCAGGGAAAACTGTCCCTGGCCTGAGCTCTGCTCTGTGCCAGCGTTCTGTGCCGGTGCTGCTCCTGCTGCTCCCTCTGTGCCAGGGGAAACCAGCTGTGCCATCCTGCTGTGTGCTGTGCTGGTGCTCTGCTCCGTGCCAGCGTTCTGTGCCGGTGCTGCTCCTGCTGTGCCAGGGGAAACCAGCTCTGGCATCCTGCTCTGTGCTGTGCCAGTGCTGCTCATCTGCTCCTGCTGTGCCAGGGGAACCTGGCTCTGGCCTCCTGCTCTGTGCCAGTGTTCCGTGCCAGTGCTGCTCATCTGCTCCTGCTGTGCCAGGGGAAAACTCTCTCTGGCGTGTGCTCTGCTCCGTGCCAGTGTTCTGTGCTCCTGCTGTGCCAGGGAAAGCCGGCTCTGGCACCGTGCTGGGTGTGATGCCAGCGTTCCGTGCTGCTGTTCCGGGCTGGTGCTGCTCCACCTGCCCGTCCTGTGCCGGGGGACAGCGGCTGTGCCACCCTGCCCTGTGCCACTGCGCCGTGCCAGCGCCGCTCCTGCTGCTCCCACCGTGCCAAGGGAAACTGGCTCTGGCACGCTGCTGTGTGCTGGCTGTGCCAGAGCTCTGTGCCAGTGCCCTGTGCCAGCGTTCTGTGCCATGCCAGAGCTCTGTGCCAGTGTTCTGTGCTGTGCCAGTGTTCTGTGCTGTGCCAGAGCTCTGTGCTGGTGTTCTGTGCCGTGCCAGAGCTCTGTGCCAGTGTTCTGTGCCAGTGTTCTGTGCTGTGCCAGTGCCCTGTGCCAGTGTTCTGTGCCATGCCAGAGCTCTGTGCCAGTGTTCTGTGCTGTGCCAGTGTTCTGTGCTGTGCCAGAGCTCTGTGCTGGTGCTGCTCCTGCTGCTTCTGCCGTGCCAGGGGAATCTGGCATCCTGCTGTGTGCTGTGCCAGTGCCCTGTGCTGTGCCAGTGCCCTGTGCTGGTGTTCTGTGCTGTGCCAGAGCTCTGTGCCGGTGCCCTGTGCCGTGCCAGAGCTCTGTGCTGGTGCTGCTCCTGCTGCTTCTGCCGTGCCAGGGGAATCTGCCATCCTACTGTGTGCTGTGCCAGTGCCCTGTGCCAGTGTTCTGTGCCATGCCAGAGCTCTGTGCCAGTGTTCTGTGCTGTGCCAGAGCTCTGTGCTGGTGTTCTGTGCTGTGCCAGAGCTCTGTGCCAGTGTTCTGTGCCATGCCAGAGCTCTGTGCCAGTGTTCTGTGCTGTGCCAGTGTTCTGTGCTGTGCCAGAGCTCTGTGCCAGTGTTCTGTGCCATGCCAGAGCTCTGTGCCAGTGTTCTGTGCTGTGCCAGTGTTCTGTGCTGTGCCAGAGCTCTGTGCTGGTGTTCTGTGCTGTGCCAGTGCCCTGTGCTGTGCCAGAGCTCTGTGCCAGTGCCCTGTGCTGGTGTTCTGTGCTGTGCTGGTGCTGCTGCTGCTGCTCCTGCTGTGCCAGGGCAGTCTGGCTCTGCCATCCTGCTCCGTGCTGTGCCAGTGCCCTGTGCCGTGCCGGTGTTCAGTGCTGGTGCCGTGCCCGCTGTGCCAGGGCAGCCTGGCTCTGCCATCCTGCTCCCGCTGTGCCAGGGCAGCCTGGCTCTGCCATCCTGCTCCCGCTGTGCCAGGGCAGCCTGGCTCTGCCATCCTGCTCCGTGCTGTGCCGTGCCCTGCGCTGTGCCAGCCTCGCTCCCCGTGCCGGTGCTCGGTGCCGGTGCTCGGTGCCGGTGCCCTGCCCGGTGCCGCGGTGCTGTGCCAGCGCTTCCCCCTGTGCCGGTGTCACGCTCCGGGCCAGATCCCGGGGTCGCTCCGGCCGGATCCCGCCGGGATTGTGTCCGCGCTCGGGTGCCGCGCTGCCACCTCGTGTTCATTCCCATCCCGTGCAGCATTCCCAGCCCATGCTCCATTCCCATCCCGGGCTCCATTCCCATCCCGTGCTCCATTCCCATCCCGTGCTCCATTCCCATCCCGGGCTCCATTCCCATCCCGGGCTCCATTCCCAGCCCATGCTCCATTCCCATCCCATGCTCCATTCCCATCCCGGGCTCCATTCCCAGCCCATGCTCCATTCCCATCCCGTGCTCCATTCCCATCCCGTGCAGCATTCCCAGCCCATGCTCCATTCCCATCCCGGGCTCCATTCCCATCCCATGCTCCATTCCCATCCCAGGCTCCATTCCCATCCCGTGCTCCATTCCCATCCCGGGCTCCATTCCCATCCCGTGCTCCATCCCCAGCCCGGACTGCATTCCCATCCCGGGCTCCGTTCCCGGTCCGTGCAGCATTCCCGGCTCGTGCAGCATTCCCGGTCCGTGCAGCATTCCCGGGTCCGTGCAGCATTCCCGGTCCGTGCAGCATTCCCGGTCCGTGCAGCATTCCCGGTCCGTGCAGCATTCCCGGTCCGTGCAGCATTCCCGGGTCCGTGCAGCATTCCCGGTCCGTGCAGCATTCCGGGTTTGTGCAGCATTCCCGGTTCGTGCAGCATTCCCGGTTCGTGCAGCATTCCCGGTCCGTGCAGCATTCCCGGGTCCGTGCAGCATTCCCGGTCCGTGCAGCATTCCGGGTCCGTGCAGCATTCCGGGTCCGTGCAGCATTCCCGGCTCGTGCAGCATTCCCGGCTCGTGCAGCATTCCCGGGTCATGCAGATTCCGGGTCCGTGCAGCATTCCCGGTCCGTGCAGCATTCCCGGTTCGTGCAGCATTCCGGGTCCGTGCAGCATTCCCGGCTCGTGCAGCATTCCCGGCTCGGGCTGCTTTCCCAGCTGTGCCCACGTTCCCACCCGACAGCCGAATAAAGCCGATGGCAGCAGCTGCTCCCACGGGAACGACCCGCGCCGCACCCTCGTCACTCCTCCCGGGAGGTGGGAAGCAGCTTCCCAGAGTTCCACGGGCCCCCGGGCACGGGAGGGATCCGGGGAACGTCCCAGCTGCTGATTCCCAAATCCCCGTGTCCAGGGCAGGCCCCGGGCCCCGCAGCCTGGGACATTCCGGTCCATCCCAGCCCCTCCAGCCTGGGACATCCCGGCCCATCCCAGCCCAGTCTGGGACATCCCGGCCCATCCCAGCCCCTGCAGCCTGGGACATTCCGGTCCATCCCAGCCCAGTCTGGGACATCCCGGCCCATCCCAGCCCCTCCAGCCTGGGACATCCCGGCCCATCCCAGCCCAGCCTGGAACATCCCGGCCCATCCCAGCCCAGTCTGGGACATCCCGGCCCATCCCAGCCCAGTCTGGGACATCCCGGCCCATCCCAGCCCCTCCAGCCTGGGACATCCCGGCCCATCCCAGCCCAGTCTGGGACATCCCAGCCCATCCCAGCCCAGTCTGGGACATTCCGGCCCATCCCAGCCCCTGCAGCCTGGGACATTCCGGTCCATCCCAGCCCCTCCTCGTGGCTCCCCGAACGCCCACCGGACAATCCAGGGATTAACGGGATTTAAGGCGGCTCCTCCCGCCCGGGAATTCCCTGCACAGGAATTCCCAGAGCGTTCCCAGCACCCACAGGGTGTTCCCAGTACATCCCAGTACCCCCCAGGCCCTCACGGAATGGAGCCGGGTGGGGTCACTGGAGGTTTGGGATGTCCCTTCCAGCCCCGTGGGATGTGTGGGATCCCCCAGGGCCCCATCCCTGTCCAGCCACTCGGACGAACCCCAACGCGCGTTCCCACGTTCCAGGGGAATCTCCCCCTTCCCAGCGTGTCCCGTGGGTTTGTGGCACGGGATCGCTGGAGCAGATCCGGCCCCGGCTCCGCTGCCTCCCACCGGGAACAGGGAGAACGTTCCTGGTCTTGCCCCAGGCCCTCCTGGCACACGGGAGAGGGGACGTGCCCTGGGACACTGGTACCAGAGTCTGCCCAGGGAATGGGGATGGAATTCCTGGTCTAATCAGAATTCCTGGTCTGCCCAGGGAACGGGGATGGGATTCCTGGTCTAATCAGAATTCCCGGTCTGCCCAGAGAAAGGGGATGGAATTCCTGGTCTAATCAGAATTCCTGGTCTGCCCAGGGAACGGGGATGGGATTCCTGGTCTAATCAGAATTCCCAGTCTGCCCAGAGAATGGGGATGGAATTCCTGGTCTAATCAGAATCCCTGGTCTGTCCAGAGAAAGGGGATGGAATTCCTGGTCTAATCAGAATTCCCGGTCTGCCCAGAGAAAGGGGATGGAATTCCTGGTCTAATCAGAATCCCTGGTCTGCCCAGAGAAAGGGGATGGAATTCCTGGTCTAATCAGAATTCCTGGTCTGCCCAGAGAAAAGGGGATGGAATTCCTGCCCACGCTGGAATTCCCTTTCCCTCCCGGGGGTGATCTGGGAGCACGAGGCCCTCTCCCCACAGGCAGGTGTTCAGTCCCCTTTGGTGGCCCGAACTCCCGAAATCCTTTATAAAACTCGTGGGATCCGTGGATTCCTCCTGGTTTTTCCTCGTCCCCGAGATCCCGGGGCCGGTTCCGCTCCCGAGGTGCCGGATGTGGCACCACCCGAGTCCTGCTCAGGCTCCTTGTCCTGGATCCAGCTGGGGAGGGACGTCTGGGGGGTCATTCCAGAGCTGCATTTCCATGCCCTGGCACAGAGCC